CATAATCAGCACCTCGGTGCTCAAGCTATAGGCAAAACCCAGCCTCATGTCCTCCAAACTGGCCTAACATCAATGCACAGAAATCACATCTCGCCCCTCGATCAGGGAATCACAAGCCATCGATGCACATCTAATACTAAGCGCTCATATGCGCGTACGAACACGTGGAGGGAATTTCAAGAGTTACATTTCAAGCTGAATCAATGATGCACGATAAGAATTCAAGAATGTGGAAGTTTTCCTAAAGGTTCTGCAGCCTCTCAAAGATAAGTACAGACGTCTCCGTACCGATCCGCAAGACTCTACAAAACCTGCTCATGACTCGTGAGATCAATGTAACCTAGTCTTTGATAACAAATTATCACAACTCTAAACCCGGACCCTGTCGTGATGGTGCCTCTCGTGAAGATGAGGCCAGCCGACACTTCCCATTTTCCAATTATTAACAAAATATACGAAATACAGTCCAAACACAGCCCAATACCGGGGTGCCACTAGCCATGAGCATCCAACAAAACGGAATACTCCAATATATATATAACTACAGAGTTTAATATAGCAAACTAAGAACATGAAGAGGTAAGATAGGGAAGAACTCCAGGCTGCGAATGCCAGTAGCTACCTAGAGACTCCTTGGATCCGCCTGAATCGGAAATGATCAGCACTCCGGAGCGGGACTAGATACGCCTGAAGCTGCACACAAGGGTGCAAGGAGTAAAGTGAGTACTCAAACTCAGTAAGTAATAATTATAAATAAAGAATGAAAGCAGGAAATCACGTAAGGCACAAAGCATGCTACAATGAAACAGTAAAACAATTAAAAACAATAAAAACATTGAAAGATAAAAATCTTTTAAATCAAATTTAACTTCATGAAAAGCCTTTTCAACAATTAAGCAAGTAATTGACATTCAATTATGAAAAACAAATACATAAAGGTTCGCCCCTCGGGCACAGTATCAACAAATCCACCCATCGGGCAACATCTCAGAACAATACCAGCCCCTCGGGCCCAATCTCAAAATAGTACCAGCCTCTCGGGCTCATATCTCAGATCACGATACCAGCCCCTCGGGCTCAATCTCACATCACAATGGGTACCCTCGCTCACTGGGGGTGTAAAGACTCTTGGAGGGGCCCTTTATGGCCCAAGCGCAATATCAAGCCACCTCGTGGCATCATCACTAAAACCTCGGCCTCATATCAATCAAACCACCTCGTGGCCCTCAGCCTCATAATCGGTATCAAACGTTTCCTCACAACATAGACCCTCGGCCTTACTCAGTCAAAATCCTCACAAGCCACTCGTGCAATAGTAAAACATGATTCTCAGCCCAAACATATCGTTTAAAAGATCATGTAAGTGTTAAAGCAATGTAAACATGGCTGAGTACGAAAACAGTGAAATATAACATGACTAAGTTCAAGTATAAAGTCAAAACATTGAGGAATTACCAGTAAAAATCCCCGAAAGGTTCAAATAGTTGGCACAAGGCCCAAATATGGCATTCAGCCCAAATCATGATGATAGTAAATATATTTCAGTCAAATACGCGGTAAAATAGTCATCCGGGATGGACTAAGTCACAATTCCCAATAGTGCACAACTCCACGCTCGTCATCAAGCATGTGCGTAACCTCAATATAGCACCACTATGTGCAAGTCCGGGGTTTCATACCCTCAAAACATCATTTACAATCATTACTCACTTCTATCTAGTCTAAACTCAATCTCGTGTTGCCCTTGCCTCTCGAATCGACCTCCAGATGCTCCAAATCTAACCAAAATCGGTACAAAACCATCAAAATGTGCTAAGGGAACAAAGCCCACTCGAAAATATCCAATTTACATCAAAAATTCTGAAATTGGTCAAACCCGACCCCCGGGCCCACGCCTCGGAATTCAACAAAATTTAGAAAACTAGAATCCTCATACTCAAATGAATCTAACCATACAAATATTATCCAATTTCGATACCATTTAGTCCTTCAAATCATCATTTTACATTTTTGAAAGGTTTCACAAATTTTCTTCCCAAATCATGAATCAAATGATAAATTCAATGATAGATTCATGTACTCTAGTCAAATCCAAGTTAGAATCACTACCCCGATGAATTTCTTGAAAAACCTTCGAAAAATTGCCAAAATCCGAGCTCTCTAGGTCAAAATATGAAATAAAACCCTAAACCTTGTATTTATAGAGTACCTCCCAGATTTCCACCACTGCTGACCGCACAAAATCGAGTGCGGACCGCGGTGGAGTACTGCTGACCGCACAAAAACCAGTGTTGACCGTGGTGGATTTGACTGTAGTGACAAGCTTTGGTATTGTTGCCATAACATTTGCTACATATATCCAAATGCCTATTATAATATGTTTCTGAAACCTAGATTCAAAGATCTACAACTTTCGTTTTTCAATCATTCCAAACTTCCTTGTAGATCAAAAGATATAAGCTTCCGAAGTCAGACCAGTGAAACCTTCCTCACCGCAGACCGAACAAAATTGAGTGCGACAACAAAGCCCCCACCGCGGATGCACAAAATCTTTTGCGGACCGCACTGGTGTCTGCAACCTCTCTGAACCTGCAACAGCTATGTTTTTAAGCCTAAAACATCCCGAAACCTATCTGAAACTCACCCGAGCCCCCGGGACTTCAAACCAAATGTACCAACACATCCCATGACATCATCAAACTTGTTCAAAACTTTAGAATTCTCACAACAACATCAAAACACCAATTTAACATAGGATTCAAGCCGAAGAACTCCAAAAACTCTTAAATTATGCTTTTGATCAAAAAGTCTATCAAACCTCGTCTGAATGGCCTAAAATTATGCAAGCACGTCACATTCAATGCTACAAAGCCACTCCAACTTTCGGAATTCCATTCCGACCCTTAGATCAAAATCTCACTATCGGACCGGAAACTTCAAAAATTTAACTTTCGGTATTTCAAGCCTAAATAAGCTACGGACCTCCAAAACACAATCCGAACACGCTCCTAAGTCCCAAATAACCTAAAGGAGATAACCAAATCATAAGAATTCTGATCTGAGATCATATACAAACAAGTCAAATCTTGGTCAAGCCTTTCAAATTTCAAGCTTCAAACTAAGAACTGTTTTTCCAAATTCATTCCTGATTACCCTGAAAACAAAAATCAATGATTTACATAAGTCATAATACATCACACGGTGCAAGTAATACCTGAGAACTGGCGAGCGAAGTGCAAAAGCTCAAAATGACCGGTCGGGTTGTTACAAGAACATTAATCTAGGACCGAACTAGCCACAATGTCGGCCAAAACTTGTGACTTAATCACAGTCCTGAGTTTGTACTCAATGTCGAACGCACTAATTTTGACTACCTATTTAGCCAAATAGCCTGACAACTCAGGCTTGTGAAGGACATTCCTTAAGGGAAAGGTTATCACAACGGCTATCGGGTGGCACTAAAAATAGGGCCAAAGCTTTCGAGAGGTGACTATGAGAGCTAAAGTCAGCTTTTCAAGGTACGGATAGCGAGTATCAACTCCTGGTAGTATTTTACTAATATAATAAATGGAAAAGTGCATACCTTCTTCCTCTCAGACTAAAATGGTACTTATCGCTACTTCCGAGACCACTAGATATATTAATAATTGCTCTCCTTCCCCCGATTTTGATAGTAACACTAGGCTGGATAGGTAACTTTTAGGTCTTTCAATGCTTGTTGGCATTCTGGAGTCCATTCAAAACCATTCTTCTTTTTTAGCAGTGAAAAGAAGTGATGGCACTTCTCTAAGTATCTAGAGATGTAATGAAAAGAAGTGATGGCACTTCTCTAAGGATCTAGAAATGAATCTGCTTAGAGCCACTAACCTCTTTGTCATCCTCTATACTTCGTTCACATTAATCAATTGGTCCGGAATGTCCTTGATAGCTTTGATTTTATCGGGATTTACCTCGATCCCTCTTTATGGGACTAGGAATCCTAAGAATTTACCGAAACAAACCCCGAATGCGCATTTCTCCGGGTTGAGTTTCATGTTATGCTTCTTCAGGATGTTGAAAGTCTCTTGGAAGTGTTTCAAATGATCTCCAACATTCAGAGACTTGAATAACATGTCAACAATGTATACCTACAATATTTTTCCTATATGATTTTCAAACATTTTATTAACGAGACTGTGGAAACTGGCTCAGGCGTTTCTTAAGCCCAAATGGCATCACATTATAGCAATATGTACCAAAGTTTGTTATGAAAGAAGTTTTTTCCTGATCCTACCGGTTCATCTTTATTTGGTTGTATCCAGAGTAAGCATAAAGGAAACTCATTAACTCGTGTCCGGCCATAGCATTAATCATTTGATCAATGTTTGGCAATGGAAACGAGTCTTTATGGCACGCCTTGTTTAAATCCTTATAATCTAAGAACATTCTCAACTTGTTATTCTTTTTTGGAACTACAACTACATTGGCTAACCATTCTAGATATTTTACCTCCCCATGGAGCCAATATTGAGTAACCGAGTTACCTCCTCTTTAACAAACCTATTCTTGAGCTCGGCTATTGGGCATTTCTTTTACCTTACTAGTGGGATGTTTGGGTCCAGTCTCACTTTATGAACGGATACCTCTCATAGGATATTTGTCATATCCGAGTGAGACCATGAAAAGAAATCTACATTAGCTTTAAAATAATTTTAAATTCTAACCTAAGTTCGGGATTTAGTCATGTTCCCAAGTGAAACTTATTTTCTAAAAATTCATCGAATGGGGCCACTTGCTCGAGTTCTTACACGGTTGACTTAGTCGCATCCTTCTCCTCCTGTACCTAAAAATATCTCGGCACCTGCTGGGATTCCGATGACTCCTTGCCTTTATCGTCTTCGTTTGGAATGGGAGAAAGCATCAACTCCTGTAATTGCTATCTATTGGACTCTTTTTCCTTGTTGCTGGAAATAATTACCGTATTCATCTCCCTTGCTACCGGTCGGTCTCCCTTTATTTTCTTAACTCCTTCCGACATTGGGTAGCGATAACAACTGGTGATATGTTGAGAGCACAACCTTCATCAAGTGCATCCACAGCCTTCCGAGGATTATATCGTAACCCATATCGCCATCTACCACTTCGAATAGAGTGGTTTTGATCAATCTTTCGGCGTTTGTGGGCAGCAAAATCTCTTCTCGGGTTGTCACACTTGTCAAGCTGAATCCATCTAAGAGTTTTGTCATCGGAATGATGTTTCCGATCAGTTTTGCTTGCTCCAAAACTCTCAATTGTATTATGTTGGCTGAACTTCCGGGGTCAGCCAAAACACTTTTAATTTTGAAATCTAAAACACTGAGAGAGATTATCAAAGCGTCGTTGTGTGGTAGGAGTCTAACAGTGTCTTCCTCCGTGAAAGTGATGTCATCTTCTACGACCTCCCAAAGTCTCTTGTTGTAAGTCACTGATATCTTCATTTTCTTTGATGCTAAAAAAGTTACAACGTAGACTTCATTTTCTCTGAAAATCGTGTTGATAGTCAGCATATGGCATCCTTCTACTACCTTCGAACGCTCTGCATTGTCCCGGCTTTGATTGTTCTTGGCTCGGTTACTTAAAAACTCCCTCAGATGACCATTCTTCAACAATGTTGTCACTTCTTCATGAAGATGTCGGGAGTCCCCAGTTCTATGGCAGTGAGTCCCACGGTATTCACACCATAAACAGAGATCCCTCTGTCTAGGATCAGATCGGATTGGCTTTAGGAACCGTGCTTTGATATTCCTCATTGTCGATACCAACTCCACTAAATGAATGTTAAAGTTGCAATTTGATAACCTGGGATATGTAGAGTCTCGGGCCCCTAGAATCTCCTTCTCCTGTAACGACCTGCTGCTCTGACCATAATATTTTCTCCTATCGGGAGTAAACTTATCCGATGATCGAAAACCTTTGCTGCTACGACCTTCGGTTCTTTCATACAGCAGAAAACCACCCCTAGAGGACCGTCGATATGTACCAAGTCGCTTTTAAACATGTCATGGTTTTTGTCTCGATCTCGTCCCTTAGTTGATACTGAGAACCCGAGTTGATCATCTTCTATCCTTATTTTTGACTCATAACGATTATGGACATCCGCCCATGTGGTTTCTTAAAATTCGAGCATGCTTTCCTTCAGCTTTCGAGAGGCGTCGGAGCTCCACGGATTTAAACCCTTTGTGAATGCCTCTGCTGCCCACTCATCCAGTACTGCTGGTAACGACATCCTCTTTTTCTGGAACCGGATCACGAATTCTCGCAGCAGTTCAGACTCACCTTACGCAATCATGAAAATGTCCACCTTTCTGGCTTGAACCTTCCTTGCTCCAGCGTGGGCCTTAATGAATAAGTCTACAAGCATCGTAAAATAGAGAATACCATATTAGGGCCCCCTTTGTAAGGGTTTCACCAAATTTCTTCAGTAAGACCGACTCGGCCTCATGTTGAGCCAAATCGTTCCCTTTTACAGTCGTGGTGTAGGTTGTGATGTGCTCCTGTGGATCCGAAGTCCCATCATATTTTGATATGTATGGCAGCGTAAACTTTTTGGAATTAACTTTGGTGTTGCACTCGGTTTAGATGGTAATTGTGTGCATTTTTTTGAATCTGGGCCTTTTCATATTGGTGGTGTGCCTGAAATCTTATCCATTCGAGCGTGAAACTCATTTGCATTTTGATCCATTCATTCGTTCATTCATTTCCCTTATAAACCTTATTAGCTCGGTTTTAAAGGGATCATTCCCGTTGTTACTTCCATATCCGCTGACGGTCCCTCCAGCTCCGTCGAAACCAACTTCACCCTTTGGGGTGTTGTTATCAACCCTCTGAGTCATTTGGTTTGCAACAACACTGGGGAGAACAGATCCCCTTCCGCTTGCTTTATTGGAGGCACCTGATAATGATTGTTTTAACTCCATCATCACTAGATCCTGCCTGGAAAGGTGTTCCATGATTTCTTTCTGTTGTTCTCTTAGAATTTTAACCGTTTCCATGACATGTTCCTCCTATGTATCATTGGGAGTCGATTCCCGCACATGCCAATGAAAATGGCTATCTCTAATCAAGGTCGTCTCATCCTCTTCGTTGCAAGGCTCACTTATTGAGTCATCATGTTGGGACAATTTTTCGTGCCCCTCAATGTCATGTGTGATATTGACGTCATTAGCTTCCATATCTTTTTTTGACTAAGGAAAGAATCAAAACGAGTTAGTAATAAACTCAAGGATCAAAGAAATTATGCAAATGTCTAAGCCCCATAATTGTGCCAAACTGTTTACTCGCAAAACAATACAGTTAAATTTGATGCATGGTGTATAGACAAGCAAATTAATTTGATCCGAAAATGATAGAGAGATAAGACTAAAATTGAGATTAGCAATTGAATTTGAAGAAGATGACAAGTTTGGCTCCGAATGCAATGCCTTCAAGGCCAAAAGTGAAAGAAAAGATAAAGTGCAAGTAAAGTTATTTAATTGAGAGCAAACTATTACATCTCGCTTTTTCATAAGTTAAAAGTTTTGTCTTCAGTTAATTGACGTAGACTCAGGGATGAAATAATCGTGACAATAATGTATTTACGCAATTTATAACAAGCGATAAATAAGTGTTATGAAGGAAAAGGGGGTACATGATTTGAAGAAAACGAGTTTCGTTGAAAGTGGCCAATTTGGAATAAAATACGGGTCGAGCGATAATATCCGATAATTATGAACTAGTAATATGCAAAGTACCATATGACCACGGTAGTATAATGTATAAAGTATGTATAAAGTATATTAAAAATAAGTAGAATTTTAAGTAATTCGAGACAATTTTTAAATTATGCGGGTAATTAATTAATTACCGGGTAATAGGACATTACCCAGTTAATTAATAAGTGGATAAAAATTTATAAAATATACCTATCTAAAATTTGGTAAAAAGCCACCATGACAAAAAATGACTCATTAGTCATTATGTCATGTGGCTATGTAAGATCTCATTAAAAATGTAACCAAATAAGACTTGAATATAAAGTCTTATCTCATAAACATTCCAAGTCGTATCTCATAAAAACATTTTGATCCTAAGGTGAAGGTTAGATTAAAATGTGAGGAGATTTTCTAAGCTCTTTTCGTTCAAGAGTTTAAAGAAGCAGAAGCCTAAACCTATTTTCGTTCAAAGCAGTTCAACATAATTCCATCAAAATTTTGTTGTTACAAAAGAGTACGGTGCAATCTTCAAAAATATTATACGGAATTTTTCTTACTCCAGGTATGTTAAGGTCATCCCTTCTTTCTTTTGGTATGGTCCAAATTATACTGAAGAAATGAGCAAACGCACAGTTTCCATAAATTACTCTATTCATAGAAATACTATGGGTTTCTATATTCTTGATTCCCCATGAGAATTATTATTATCTTTTGTTTATGGGTCTCAGAATAATACGCAGTTGAAAAAGTTTATCCAGAAGGAATATTAAGATTATTACGTATTTTTATGAATTTCACCCATTTATACATGTGCATTGACCCATGACCAGATGGTGTTATATACGCATATATATGTAAATATACGTATATGGGATATGGAAAAAGGTTACGGCGTTATATACGCACCACCACCTGATCAGCTGGTATATGTTGATGATGTTTCCCACAGTGGCCGATACGATATGATGGGATGCCCTCAGCGGCTTGATGATATAATGTAGACCCATATCTATGTGTGGCACGACATTTACATGCACGTGCATGACATTATAAATGTTTTAGAATTTATAAAGTTATACAGATTTAAAGACATGTTTCTATATTCCATGTTTTATCTATGTCTTTTACGTACTAATTTTCATGCCTTACATACTCAGCACATTTTTCGTACTGATGCCCTATTTCACGGGGCCTGCGTTTCATGCCCGCAGATGCAGGTAGGCAAGTTGACAGTCCCCCTTCTTAGGATCCTTGATCTGCGAGAGTTGGCGTCCTCCACTTGATCCGGAGCTGTTTTTTATTTTGGTACGATACGTTTGTATATATATAAGGGTATGACATGGCTCAGTCCTATCTTTGTACAGTTATGTTTCTATTAGAGGTCTGTAGACGGTATGTCTAGTTGGATAGTATGTGGCCTTGCCGGCTTCCAGTTTTGAGATGTATAGTTGTCTATAGCAGCCTTGTCGGCTCGCCCTACGTATGTTGTACGTACACGTATGTATGCCTTTTTGGGCAGATTTCCTTCATGTATATTATTCTCGTAATTCAGCAGATGTTATTCAGGTTTATATCTTAGACGCAGGCTTAGGGGTGTTTGACAGGCAGGATTCGGGCACCCATCACGGCCTATCGGTTTAGGTCGTGACAAAAGTGGTATCAGAGCAGTTCTGTCCTAGGGTTGTCTACAGACCGTGTCTAGTAGAGTTTTGTTTATAGGTGTGTTGTTCACCACACTTATAGAGAGGCCGCTACCGAATATTAGGATAGTTACCTTTCTTTCTAATCCAGATTGTGCGATAGAACTGAGTCATAAGTATCCACTCCTAATCTTTATCTTATTTATATTTTTAGCGATGCCAGTTACTACTAGACGACAGGAGCAAGCCGCTAGCATGGGTCATAAGGCTACGAAGGTGTTAGAAAGAGATATAAGTTATAATATGGAGTCAGACCCATCAGAGATCATGGTTTCTATTGAGGAGGGTCCATATGAGTCATTCGTTCGAGTTGTGTCGACAACTCCGGGAGCAGATAGAGTGAGAGGAGTTTTGACCTTGCCAAGGCCCTTAGTTGCATTATCACAGCCCGTTGATCAGGGTATGAGGGGAGTAGTGCATGGATTGGCATAGTCGGGTTTCCGTCAGGCTCAAAACTATGTCAAGGCATTTGCAGACACCAGCTCTTCTAAGGTTCCAGATAGCCCACAATCTTGGGAGTCTGTCAATCAAGGTTCGCCAGTGTATGTTATGGGATATACAGAGGAAGAGGATAGTAGTCGGTCCAAGAGGAGGAAGGTAACCAATAAGGATATGAAGGTTCCGCTTTGAAGCGTGTCTGATCGAGGTTCTTATATAGGACGAGGCAAGGACCCCTTACTGTAGACTTCCTCCAAGTGTCAGTTTTTGGTTGGTGAGTTCCACCTTGTCTTGGAATATTACCAAGTCAGGGTTCTAAATATGTTAGGTTGTTTTGTGAGGGCGTAGGGAGCCTCGCCCCGACTTGTATATATTATGGTTATGCCTACTTAGAGGTTTTGCAGACAGTATCTTGTATATAGTTTTGGGTATGACATGTCTACGGCCTGGTCGACCCCTATGTATATAAGCCTTTTTATAAATTAGTTATGCAAGTTATGTTTTAATATGGCTACCTATATATATGGATGTGGCCCGAAATGGCTCGTGATAGATTTGATAATAAACAAGGATAAGATACGTGGTGTTCGGTTGGGTAGAACTTGATATTATAATAGGTATAGATTGGGTGGCCTTTTGTTATGCTAACATCAAGTGTAGATCAAAGATGGTTTGATTTCAGTTTCCAGGAGAGCCTATTTTAGAATAGAAAGGTAATATGGCATCGCCAAGAGATAAATTTATCTTCTATCTCAAGGCAAGAAAGATAATCAGAAAGGACTATATTTATCACTGAGTTCGGGTTTGGGATGTAGAAGTAGAGTTACCAACCATCCAGTCCTTTCTTGTGGTTAATGAATTTCCCGATGAACTTTAGGGTCTTCTGCCAGAGCGAGAATTTGAGTTTCTATTAACCTACTA